CGCCCCGCGCGTCACAATCCTCTCTGTGCGCGCCCCGCGGCCCGCCCCCCTGTGGGCGTCCGGGCCCGGCGCGGGATGTCCGGTCCCCAGCTGTCCCGAGAGCGTCTGCAGAATTAGGGGTCGGGTTCCCGCAGTTCCCTATCCCTCCAGCTCTCGTGCTCAGACAGCCACGTAATACAATTTTCCATCTTTTCTGGTCCTCCTCTCTCCACTCCTTCTCCGTGGAGCCCCCTTCTTAACACGTCTGGCTTAGATGCCACGGTCCTTCACTTCAGTCTGTCTTCAAGGTTCTCGATTCTATCACCTCGTTGTTCTTCCGTCGCAACTTCCAGTTGGATCCTTCCAACGATCCGCCTTCTCCCTGTCGATAACCGGGCTGAGGAATGCTTGAAGATTCTGCGATGCGCATTCATCATCGACAGCTTCAACTGGGTCGTCGCCGCTGCTTCCACTTCCCTTACGCTGCGCTGGCCCGCGCTTTTCTGGAGTCTGCAGCATTGCCTTCAAACTGTCTTCGCTCCATAATCTCTGAACCCACTGTCACCCTCCCAGGCACTTCCAGCAGAAGTAGGCGGACGGTTGCTTCACACGCGGATAATGGCTGACACTTACATAGAACTTATGCTCAGCGCTGTTCCATGAATTGATACATGTTAACGCCTCAACTCCTTCCGACAACCCGGGAGGGTAGGTGCGTGATTGTTCCCGTCTGGGAAACAAGGCACTGGTGTGTTAGATAACTTGTCCAGGGTTCTACAGTCAGAGGGTGAGCTGGGATTAAAATCCACAGAGTCTGCCTCCAGGCCTGTGCTCTTCACCACTGTGCTCCGCTACCGGTTGCTTTTACAAAGCCAGACTGGACCTACCTCAATTCTTTGCCACCGACAAGCCTATAACCTTGTTAGTAGCCACTAACAAGGTTAGTAGTTATCCTTCTCCCTGCCATCCTGTTGAAATTGAAGTTGTTGCAACTCCTCTTATCTCAGATAAATCTCCATTTCTGTTCCCATTTCCTTCCTAGAAGCCTCCTCAGAGATCTCACTCCTCAGAGTGTTCCCTCACCTTGTTAACCTCTCTACATTGCCTCCTCCCTTTAAACATTTAAATACTCAAATCTTCCCTTCTTCAAGCCAATAAACCAAAACCCTTTGAACCAGAGCTAATTGTAACTGTTGTCCACGCCCTCTATTTACAGTGAAGATTTCTGGGAGTTGTCTGCAATCCCCATTTCCTCTTCTTTACACCCAGCGTTGATATTTGGCTCACTGCAACCTGCTTCAACCCTTATACCCCATTGGTGCTTGTTTCGAAATGGCCACTAATGATCTTCCTGCTGAATTCAGTGGACACTTTACCACATGACTTTTGCGTAGTGTTAGAAATCACAGAGAGGGTTCTTGGAAGAGTTAGGCTTAGAAAAATTAAATCATCTTGCCCTTCTGACCACTCCCTTCTTGAAACTCTCCTCTGTGGGAGGAATATGACTTAGAAAAATTATGTAATCTTGCCCATGATCACAAACCAGGAATTGACTTGAAATCCTATGCTTTCTCTAATATACCGTGTAGCCTCAAGAACATATGTTTTGGATACTTACTGTTACATGTCTGCTAGGTCCTGGAAATAAAAAGATGAATAAGTTAAATTACTGTCCTCAAAGAGAGTCACTACTAGTCAAACTAGTAACAATAAAAAAAAGTAAAACAATGTGTTGTGAGGTCTACAGATCTTGTGCAGAAATGCAGGAACCTCTAATTCTGTCTGAAGATGAAGGCTTCCAGTTGATGCCAAGAAACTTTCCCAGGCGAGTAGGTAGATTGGCCACTCATGTTAGTTCCATTCTTCTGACTTCCTGATCTGCCTTTGCCCTCCTGGAATGATTCCTCCACAGGTGGGTTCACTTGTAATCACCTCTAGTTTGTCCAATATCCTCAGAACAGGTGCATTAGGATAAGGACAGGCCCTGAAGATGTATCTGGATGTGTCTGAGCTGGACTTTAAAGGATGTATAGGAGTTTATGAGGTAGCTAAAGACAGAAAGAGCATTCCTGATGGGGGCAGCAGCATGTTCAAATGGCAGGGGGTATGGATCAGTATGATGGGTTTGGTGAATAAGTAACTCGTGTCAAGTTGTTACCACTCTTCATTCATCACTTCTCCTTGCCTTTCCTCCTCTTTTATTCTGTAAAAAACAAAAACAAAAAATACAAGGGCCAAAGTTGAAACGAAACATTGATTAGCTGGGTTCAGGCACCATGAGACTAAGATAAAAGAATGTGTCAGAGTTTCATGTCTGAGACATTAGGAAGCAGGCAGTGGAACCCACAAGAATCCAATCCTACCTTCACTTGAAAACTTTGTGATCCTGGTCAATTAATTATCTTGTGTGAGCCTCAATTCCCTTTTCTACATTTACAAAATAGGAATAATAAAATAACATAGGGTGGTTATGAGCATTAGAAATGATATAAGTAAGGAATTGGGGAGATAATTCCTTGCTAATTGGGGAGTTACTCAATAATGGCAGTTGTGGTTATATTTTACTATAGGCTACATTGTAGAATCGTCCCAATGGGAAGAACCTTAGATCTCATGCAGTCCCATCTCCTATCTGATTCTTTAAATCGCCTGTCAATACGTTAGTTTTGTGGCAGACCCCCTTTCTTTTGAATAAATTAATGGGTAGGAAATTCACTCCAGCCCATTCAATTTTTTGGCACCTCTAATTATTGGAACCTCTTACTTCAACCCACTAGTTCTAGCTCTGTTCTCAAGGGCCTCACAAAATAAACTCATTCTCCTTTACATGATGATAGAGTTGGGGGAAGAGGCTGAGACTGTCAGAATCTAGAAGCTTGGATGAGGAACCCCACAAGCCAGGAATCAGACCTCCGAGGAGGGGAACACTGCCAAGCTGAACTAGTACCACAGGAGGTTGGATGGGGGTGGGAGGATCTTTCAGAGAGGCGGGTCAGAGACCTCTTAGGAGGGGGCACTATCTAGCAGGTGCTGATGTGATTAAGGAAGAGTAGTAAAACCAATTCTGGATGTGTAGAAAGAACTCAGAAACTGGAATCACCTCCTGCTGGAGACAACTGCTACTGCAGGTGAAGTGTCATTGCTGGGGTGACACTGAGAGCAAGAAACAGGAATGAGTAAGATCCTTCTCCCCCACATCTGCCTTCCAATCTCCCTCCAGCACCCCATTGGCTAAGCCTATTGAGATGCCAGCTGGCTCAATTTCCAGCTCTTTATCTCTAAAGAGAAATAAAATATGCAGAGTCTCAGCCCTGGCTTCACAAAGAGGAATATGGACTAGTGGGTTTAGAGCTGAAAGACAGCAGGTTAATGAGTGGCACAACAACCATCATGCCCTAAATCACGTGCAGTCCTTCAACTAGATGTCTTTGAGAATGGTTTCAAATCTCCCCACTATCCAGGTTGGTAATGTGTATCATACCACAGTCAGCCAATGTCCTGCACCAGACACAAATCTCAAAATGTGGTATGACCAAGAGTGAAAGGGGCGATAGCATTGACTCCCCAAATCCGGACAGTATATTGTCATAAAAAGTGCCTTTGCAAAAAAACGAACACAATTTAACTGTAAAACTGTGAAAACTCCTAAATACTAAATGCAAGCATAGTCAATATTTCTGCTTGTTTGTGTTTGATTGGTATAAAGCTGAAATTCTCAAAGTCAACTCGAGAAAATGCCACCATCGCAAAATGTTTATAATTTTATATGAAAAACAAAAGAAATAAGCCCTTCCCCCTTACCCAGAAATGCATACTGAGTTCAAATAAGTTTGAGATATTCTAGGTTAAACCAAGTTAAACAAGTCGCTTTACTGCAGGACTACTCAGAACCTGTCATGTGCTAAAGTGATTATGAGCTTCCAGAGCGTATATATTATACCATGTTCTCCAATTTACTTGCTTATGGGACCCCTTTTCAGTGTGCCATCTATAGTCTTTCTCACTTATATGTGGAGGATTCTAGATTAAAGATAGTAGTTGTTTCTGAATAACTAAATATTATTTTATATTGCTTTAAGAATGGCCTTGTTACGTCATAAAATTACATCAACAACTCTGAATATCAATATTTAAATCAGATTTTCCCCACATCACATTGTGTGTCTTATTTTCTATCTAAGCAGTATTCGCTAATTTTTGTTGTATGTCTTAAGTAGGTGTTTCATAAAGCAAGTGAGATTAGCTTGTTAGGGCGTTTCCGTACTGATGTTTTATTATCTTCCTCTGGCTATTTGATAAATCTACGCTGATGGAATCAGTTAAAGTAGCATTGCACTAATAAATGCTATGTCTGTATCGTGTGAAACAGGATAAGATTTATCAAATAGAATATCCACACAATTTTCCTTAGTTTAACTATTAAGTATTTTCTTTCAGTTTTGCAATTGAAATCATTTGAGGTTTGTATCTCTTCAGCTTTCTTTTCTGTCATCCACAGTAATTCAAAACTTGATTATTTAGCAATTGAATTTATAGAAACATTTAAATATTTCATTCACATTTTAAGAATAAAACAGCTTCTAAGGTTTGTTGATGTTTCCATAATTAGATTTTACTTTTGTAAGTTTATGCAAATACAGGGCAAGTTCTTAAGGAATTAACTTGTGAGCTTTTCCATATAAATGAAACAACTTGTACAGAAAGAAATGGAATATCAACGTTGATGTATGTTGTACCATTATTCAGAGAGTTTCTGTTTTCTGGGCTTCCGATGGGCCATGTAATCTATTTTGGGGCATTAAGAAACTTTCCTTATTTACTTTGATTTCAATATAACTGTTTACCTTTTGATCTGAAGCCATTTTCCAAAGTAAATGGGAGAATTGTGACTAATTTA